GAAAATAAGACATATGTAAAGTTTGATTTATATAATTTAATTTAAGAATAAAAATATTAAATAAAGATAAAAACGTACAGGCCCATTATGCCTCAGAAATGCTTTTTATTTCTCAAAAGCTATTAATTGTGTAATTCAGTGTCCGAAAAGTTACTCATTGAACCATCTTTTTTATTTGTTGCTTTTTGACAATATGTATAGTTACAGTGATTTAGTATTTTGTATGGAAGTCAAAATACTACTTCGTTTACATTATATTACTTGTATGACAATTTTTTTCACATACATTGCTACTTTTTCAGGTAACAAGCGTCTATAATTCTCTGAAACGATTATTTAAACATTGTAAAATTCATGTTTGTCCTTTCCAGAGAAGTAAAAATTTATTTGTTTTTGATGCATAATGTGCCTTTTAGTAAATTAATACGATATTTTGTCATTTAGAAAACCACGCCGCCTCTTCCTAAAAAAACAGTTTTTATCATGGATTTCGACAGTTGACGATAGTCTTTTTAATTTGTATAGAATCATAAAAACAAAGTAAAATGATATATGGCTTCATAGATATATGAGAGCAACGGTGATTTCCTATACGCATGTATCTATACATTAAGTAAAACATCTATATCAAAGAACTCTTAAGTGCAAAAAGCTATATATGTACTTCAAAATGCATTGTTTGAATTTTAAAGAATACGTCCAAAATGCTTGCAGGAAGAAAGAAATATCATAGGAAATAGTCTTAACGTACACGGAATCATTGCTTAACAGATAAAACCCTACTTAAAATAGCATTTGTTACACAGATATGGTTTTGGATTTGTTTGGTTAAACCAAACTTTTGGTGATATTAATGTGTTTGTATTGTTTTAAACAAATACTTGTAGATTGTAAAACACAAATCTGGTACCAACAGATGACTTATTCCGCGCGTTGTGATACATATAAACAATTAAAAACTACGTTTAATCCTGAAAGATATATATTTGTCTATTAACTAAGCGTTTAATGTTAGAAAAGCATTTGCTAAATTTCAGTGTTCAAGTCACAAGTTTTTAATTGAAACTGGTCGACTTCTTGGTTTTCCAAAGGAAGAACGTATATGTCAGCATTTTTACGTTAACTTTGATATACGAATAACTGGAAATGAATTTCATGTATTTCTTAAATGTAATCAATACAGATATGAACTAAGCTGGTACACGTTTAACGGTAGATGTGAATATTAAGAATTTTTCTAATTTAATAAATTGTTCTAATGCTGATAAAATAAAATCAATTTTTTTCACGGGGGAGAATCACGCCGTTCGTTACCAAAACAAACAAGATGGCGGATGCAGCAAAAAGTAGGTTTTTCCCTTTTTTCTCTGAAATTCGTGATGTTCTGATGTTAAAGTACATATAACAACCTTCTCCACGATTTTCTTGACACACAGGATTTTATTTCATGATGTTTTGTTCCGTACTTCATCTGAAATGCGCGTCAACAGATTTGAAGCGAGAGAATCTTCCACCGGTGTGATCGTGGTGACGTACGGCTTCTTCAATAAAGTTTACTGTTTCGTTTACATATATGTATATTAACTGAAACCACTGACTTTAAAAAGTTATAATATGTCGTCATCTAAGCATTCATGCCCATTCTGGCTAGAATAACCGCTGAAAATATTAATATCGGGGCATTTTCTGGAAATGATAACGTATGGCGCACAAAATATCAATGATAACGTACGGCGCATTTTTTTTCCTGATTAACTGATTTTCTTTACAATATAAAAGTAATGTTTACAAGACATAAGAGGATGTGTAGAACCAAATTAAGAAACTGTTAAAATAATATTAGTGTCCAGCTTTATTTGTCATCCAATGAAAGCGTTTTATTTCTTAAAAATTCTTTGTGTAAATTTTCATTGAAGAACAAAAGTCGACAATATATCAAAGTCCGTTCAAGTAGCCTTTATTTTTCATAGTGCTTCATAATCGCGTTTTGTGCAAATGGACAGGTATAGTGACGAAATAAAGTTAATATTATTGAAGCCAAATAAAGCTTGACATTAAGTATGTTTGTATTCATCCGTAGCTGTTCTACAAAAATAAGAAATATTCTCCGGTCGCTATCGCTCCTGTCGAAGTTTCTAATTTCTGTAGAACAACACGGATGAACACTTACATATACTTCGTAATTAAGAGTAGCGTAATAATTTTTAAAACCATTCTTTCATAAAGATAATGACGTCATCTAAGCGCCAGAATATGATAGCCAAATTCTTGCATGTAATTGTTTTGATCAAATTATGACGTTCCTTTCATTTACAATTATGAAATCCGCAATTGATGCGAACGGACCTTCATTTTTTTAGGATATGCGTATAAACATACGGTCATTGCGTTTATGTGTTAAAACTCGATTAATATACAACAATTTTGCATTAATGGTTCATGTAATGTATGTTTTTTGTATGTATGTACATGTATATGTGTGTATGTATATGTCTATACAAGAGACCTATCAGTTGCTGGTTTAAAGCTCAATTTTGAAAATGTTCATTGTGTAACTCCTTAAGAAACTTTCGGCTGGTATTTACTTTATCAATCAAAATTGATCTTCTCCAAACCTTTTACATGATTTTTTATATTATGTTGATATGAACTGTTCGTTACTGTGCATGTTTTATGTCCTCATTGGCTTTAAAGCCTATTGGAATAAAATAAAATGTCTACTGTCTACTATAATAAAAAAAATGTAAGGCTATGTCGCGAAAATATATCTGACGTCATAGTGGCACAACGTCACGCTAAATGGTAGCGTTTCAATATTAACCGCCCGTCAAATAAACAGAAAATTTCTTATTTACTAAATTCAATTAAGTTTTTCGCATAACATTATTTTCTAACTCATTCAATAAATTATTATAGAACCCTACACTCATTCATTTTCCCTGTTTTGTTTTTTTCTTTCAATGAGCGACCAGATTGAATAAACACAGGCTCATCTCATCTCATCTGGGTGTAAGCTAGTCGCAATTAATTTTCGTTTTGTAAATGTTTGACTGGTTCAAATATTAAGATTTCCTTATCAGAAATTTGTTAGGAATGATTTTAGACTTTTTCTTTGGAAAAGAAAATATATCAAGCCGTCCGTACCTTTTTAACATTTTTGCTCTGCTGAGTGCTGAATGCGTTTCTTCTTTCCGATAAGGGGATAAGACCATAATTATCGCACAACACTGGCGAAATTGAATGTGAAGACAACACTACACAAATGTTTCCTGAAAGTGAAGGCCTTTCTTTCTATTCTGCATTTTATACAAAATATTCTCAAACTATACACGTGTGTTTTAATTGGTATATTAACAACGGATATCTATTATGCCACCAGCTAGAAAGATATTTATTTCCGATGGTACAGCATTGTTCAAATAATTATTTCTGACCTGACCAACATTTTTTTCAGATGTCTATTATTTCCTAAACAAAAATAATTCATTATCAGCTGATTGGACAAATGGAAATCCTTCAAGAAGTAAAATGCGCCGTACGTTATCATTGATATTTTGTGCGCCATACGTTATCATTTCCGGAAAATGCCCCGATATTAATATTAATAGCAGTAAATCTAGCCAGAATGGGCATGATTGCTTACTTGACACCATATTACAACTTTTTAATGTCAGTGGTTTCAGTTAATATACATACGATATATGTAAAAGAAACAGTGAATTTTATAAAAAAAAAAAGCCGTACGTTACCACGATCAAACCGATGGAAAATTCTCTCGCTTCGAATCTGGTGACGCGCATTTCAGATGAAGTACGGGACGAAACATCATGAAATGAAATCCTGTGTGTCAGGAAAATTGTGGAGAAGGTTGTTATATGTGCTTTAACATCAGAACATCACGAATTTCGGAGAAAAAAGGGAAAACCCTACTTTTTGGCTGCATCCGCCATCTTGTTTGTTTGAGTAACGAACGGCGTGATTCTCCCCCGTGTTTTTTTGTACATGTCATTATGAAATATGAAATGTATAATAACATGGCACCACTTTGAATGAATGATATTATATCAGTTTCGCTGTATTTTGGGCCGGAGGCCTTAACTTAAAAATAAAAGTATTGTTGCTGTGTATAAAAACAGAGGCACGTATTCTTTGTTACAACTCTTTCAACAATCAACCATACGATAATGGAAACATAAAACTTATATTTTTACTATCAATATTTTTTTTCATGTTTCATAAGATAGAGCTCTATCCCTCTTAAGAAACGATGGAAGGCGTTTTGGTTTTTCGCAAAAGTATTTCAATTACAAATACAAAATAATAAAATGAGCCGTGTCACGACAAAACCAACATAATGGGTTTGCGACCAGCATGGATCCAGACCAGCCTGCGCATCCGTGCAGTCTGACCAGGATCCATGCTGTTCGCTTACGAACCCTATTACAAGTAAAGAAACTGATAGCGAACAGCATAGATCCTGATCAGACTGCGCAAAAATGGATATTAAATGCTTGCAGAAACAATATAGCAAAATATTAAAACGTGCAGTACTAATAAGCCGACGACAATTCAATACTAAAAACACATGCGCGTCGAGGACAATACAATACTATTAGCACTTGTGCTCACGTCCCAACCGTAACAAAATATTGAAAAAAGAAATGTTCATAAAAAGTTTTATGATTCTTTTATAATATTCGTTTGCCGCCTTTAAATAGAAGTACTAAATTTGGATTTTAAAATTGTTGAACGATACTTGTTAAATTTGTACTCGTTGGCAGTTATTTTATTTTGAACAACACCGGTTTCATACATCGCAACCTACTGACCTTTTTTCTCTAAATTTCGAATAAGCCTGTTTCATAAGGCATCGACGTAAACGTGCGATTTCTTTGAGTTCAAAAGCAAAATAGGGATCAGTCTTTTTGGCAATTGGGGGAAAAGATCATAGATAAATGTTAAAGAAGCTGCATTTGGAAAAAAGTTTTGTAAGTAAAAAAATAAAAAAAAACATCAGTCAATTGCTGATAATTCACCGAACCTTTCCTAGAAATATGTCTCTGACATGCAAACGAAGTATACAATCTACCTGAAATTTCTCAAATTTTCAGAAGCTCTGTATTATTGTGCTATATGCCATATATTCTGTTTACACATGAGTTGCACGTATGGAAAAATCGTCCTGTAATTATGTGTACACAATATATAAAAAACTTTTATAAAGTATGTTTTGATTGATTAAGATATATCCGGTCTCTCGAAATCATTTTATCCAGACAGTCATGCAATTCTTCAATAATCTGTATCTGTCCTCATTAACTATTCATTATAGCTGGGAAAGAAATTTCCTTTGTATGATAAATATCCAAGATTTTGACGGCAGCTTGCGCTTACCGTCCGAGAACAGGCGCAATCAAATCAAGCCTGCAACATTTTCAGTTTTGACGTTTTGGGTTTTCTTTTGGATTCCGTTTTTCTCTTTATAAAGTTTCATCATATGTACAGTAAATGTATCTTAACAAAGGCAACATTTTAGTACTTTCTGTTCATTTTATCTCAAGACGTACAACTGGTGAATAGGTTTGATTTAGTTATTTAAGCATCATCTTCGGATGTTCTAAAATCAAAATGTCACCATTTTCATGTGAAACAAGTGCTAGGATAGCCTGCACTGACCATTACCGTTCATTAACTGGCTCAGTCTTACCAAGCCTCCAACATTTTCAATTTTGCCATTTGGGACGTTCCTTAGGGCTTCTGTTTATCTCTATTCAATTAAACTTAGTTCGCAAGATATCAAATTATGCCGTTTTAGGCATTTTAGGTACTCATTTTTCTACTGTATTGAATCAAATGACAAAACTTCAGCAAATAAAATGTTTCACAACTTTTCAATATGAATGTACATTGAAGAGATATCAGTTGAAAGTTCTGAAATGAGACAATTATAGCTCGTACATGCTCATATGTTGTACTACCATTGTCTGCTGCTGCGGTGGATTAAACCCATCATTCCGTGTGGTATAGCCTGGCGCTGATTGTTGGTTAGGTTGAACGCCACTGTTCTGACTATATGTTGGAACATATGGCTGCTGGTAAGGTTGAAAACTACCATTGATCGTTGACGGCACAGTCTGCTGTCGAGATGTATTCGTAATAGGACCGACAGACTGGTGGTTATTTACGGTGTTATGAGTGTTTGGAACCGTTTGTTGTGTACCAGATACGTTTGTACGATTGTCGTCTGCTCTCCATGGAACAACAGAATTGCCATTTATTTTCGACTGTATCTCGTCCAGTGCTTTACTATGTTTTAGAACAAGAACGATTGTCGTTACAGACCCTGACAACAACAGCATACCACCTCCGTAACGGAATACTTTCTTCCAATCATTTGCGCCTCCATCATCGATTTTAACTAGAAAAAGAAATTTCAAACATAAATTGTCATATGCACCGTAGTTTTAAATATGGCTTTACTGACAGCAAGTTTAATGAAATGGCACTTCTATCACATTCTGATAGAATAACAAATGAAGGAGATTGCACACAGTTGGTATTTAGACTTTGCGAAACTTTAAAATAAACAATAAGAACACATTCCATTACCTGTTACGGGCAGGTTAAATAGAATCGAGTTTCTGATTTTCAACTGTTTGATTTGTTTCCATTGCTCTTAAAGAAATCTCCTTTTTCTACACTTATGGGGTAACTAGAAGTAACTTTTGATATCGGAGGTCCTCGAATGCAAATGTTAAACTTTGTATCAATGTACAAATTTAATAATAATTATGATAGCTTATTATAATGAATAATTCTTTTATGTATACTAAAGGGTTTGAATAAAGGAATATGAAGTGTGTCAGTGTGATTAAAGAGGTACTTGTTTCAATTCTTTTCCAATCTAGAATAGGTGTTATCCTTAGGAAGCAGTGAACAAACAATTTATATGATAATTCTAGACTAGTTTATTTATTTTTTTATTTATTTTATATATAAGCAAATTAACGTGAATACATTATCAGACTATAAAATCATTTACAACAAATATAATAACAAAACAAAACAATTGAAAATCTAAATCTAAAATTAACAAACAACCGACAACAACGAAAACAACAAACAAATAAACTCTACAAATTACAACAAAAACTAAATCATCAAACGACAAACTACAACATGTATTAAAAACATAAAAAACAATACCAGGTAATTAAGAAGGCCAATGCAAAACTTAAGTTTTTATATAGAAAAGTTCATTTTTAAATAGGTATACTAAACAGCTTTTAGTTTCTTCATTAATACAATGTCATTTTGATTATGCGTGTGCCTCCTGGTATTTAGGGTTGAGTCAAAATCTAAAAAATAGACTTCAGGCCACACAGAATAAGTTGGTGAGATTTATACTTAATCTCAGTCCCCGTACTCATATAGGGAGGGCTCATTTTGAGGAAGTTGGTTGGTTACCAGTACATCTGAGGGTAAATTTTCTTATTCTTGGTCATGTCCATAAGATACATAACAATAGTGCACCTAGTTATTTAAATGAGCATTTTCAAATTGCAAATGAGGTACACTCTTACTCCACTCGATTTAGAGATAGTAACAGTTATTGTATTCCAAGAGTTAAGGGTTTAGGTAAGAAAACATTTGTATTTAATGGTTGTCAGGAATGGAACAGGTTACCAACACATCTTAGGTTCATAGCAAGTCGTGATAATTTTAAAAAAATCTCTTAAGGAACATTTTATGCAATCAATATCTGTTTAGTCATTTTAATCTAGTCATCTTACCTAGCTTTTATTTATATATTTTTTATGTTAAGTGCATATTTTAGTAGTACCTATTTATTGTCAAACATATCTGTCATAATAATTATGATTATAATACATATGTGATAAATTTTGTGATGGAAATACTTATGTGCAATAATTGATATAAGAAATTGTAATTGAATAATTTTTGTGCAATACTTAATAATTAGTAAATATTTTGCCTTTCTGGTGTCATATGATCAATTCTAAGGACCACAATGGAAATAAGTCGGCTTATGCCTTCTTTTTGTGTCATCCTTGGTATTGAATATATGGCATCAACACATGCACTTTCATGTTTACATGTATCTCTTGATGTTGACATTGAATTTGTAGTTGTTTTATGACATGTATTTTTTACCAGAATAAAACTATCTATCTATCTACTGAAAACAACAGAAACGTCCAAAAATGAAAAAAAAATGTTGATAAATTTTTCTATCGGGTAATGTTTCTCAAAAATGCAACACGATTCATGTATATTTTTTCAGGGTTGTGATGTGTGATCTTCTCAATACAATCAATGTTATTGTTTTGTTTTTTTTTTCTTTTTTCTTTGTTTTTTTTTTTGTTGTTTTTTTTTTTTTTTTTTTTTTTTTTTTTTGTCTTACAGACGTTCCATTATATGCCAATTCACTTTACAATGAATTCTACATTCATGATAAAATAACGGGTAAATCATCTACATGTACGTATGTATATAAGTATACAATGTGGCGCCGTTATATGTCGCAACGCCGCTAAATGTCGCACTTGACGCTAAATGTCGCACCATTACCGCTAAATGTCGCAACCGCCGCTAAATGTCGCAAAATCGTCTACCGTTAAATGTCGCAACTGTACCGCTAAATGTCGCACGAATTTGCCTTACCGTTAAATGTCGCAACACTACCGTTAAATGTCGCAAGATGTAATTTTATGTTTAACTCAAGTTTTATTGTTCTATTATATCAATTAAATCTACTTACTCAAGACGAATTATGTCTGTTTGAAAGCGAGTGATTTTATTATATATGGAACTGCGCTACAATTTGTCATCTTTATTGTTTTGCGTTCGATTTTTAGCTGATCTTATACAAGTACATATTGATAATTATACAATTGTCTATCTTTTGTATGCAACTGCAAAATTGGCATTGTTCTGTAAATAGTTTTGTATAATCATGTCTGTAAAATTGGCAGAAGAGACAGCCTAACGACCTTGCTGCCTGAGATGGCAGAATGATGACCTAGTAGACTGAGGAGGCAAATTGCCTCGCAGTCGGAAGAAGAAGCCTCAGTTGCTGACGACCTGGGCCTTAGGAGTTTGCCTAACGCCCTAGAAGCCTAACGTCGGCAGCCTAGCATTTTGAGGCGGCAGCCAGATATTCTAACAGTCTATCGATATCAGTCTTTCAACCTTAAGTTGTCAATCTAACAGCCTAATGTCGGCAGTCAAGAAGCTTAAAGTTAGTGACATATTTTATAAATATGGAAACAATTTAAAATACAGTAAAGCCATGCAAAAGGACATGTATGATTATAAAAAAAAAACGCTTCTACCTCTAGGACGCTGAACTTAGCTGAAAAGCTGGCAGTCGGGCATATAGTAATTCAACCGTCCTTCCGTCTGTCTATCTGTCCGTACGCGGTTAAGCTAAAACGGCAAGCTGGATTTTTCTTAAGTTCTACCCGTGCAAATGGCTTCGTAATTTGCAATTTACTTATCAATATAAAGTATTGATACAGGCAAGTTACATAATTATGGTTTCCATTTTAACCAAGTTATTGCCCTTTCAAACAGTTTGAAGATGAATATCGTTAACCTTAACCGGCAAATTGGATTTATGTTAAGTTCTGTCTATATTAATGGCTTCATAATTTCCACACTTACTTATTAATAGAAAGAACATGATATTGACAAGGTTTATAACTGTGCCATCCATTTTCCCAGATATTTCCCTGTTTTCACTTTGGAAATAGGGCATTGTATGGTGAACCTATTCCGGTAAGTTGAATTTATCTAAAATTTAATTTATTTAATGATATCTTCCATATTTGGTAGGTGGATACTTATAATTGTCCTCTTATTTTTGTGGAGTAAGGGTCTCTTAGGTCAAGGTCACTGGTGTGAAAATTTTTTGAAACATTTTAGCTCATTAAGCCTTTATTTTTAAGTTAATGTATTTCATGTTTAATACAAACATTCAAAGGGAGGTCCTCTTCCTATGGGTTTAGATAGGGGTCATGTGGGTCAAGGTCAAAGTCACCAATGTCGAAAATAGATTTTACAGGTGTTTTAACATTATACTATTGACAGACGTATTTTATATTTGGTAGGAATATAAAGTTAAGGTTTCCTCCTTTGGATGGAGTTAGTGTTAAGTTGGGTCAATGTCACCAGTTGTAAAAATAGAATTTTACGTTTTCACAGCCTTTATTTATTGACAAATATATTTCATATTTTGGTAGGAAGATAACTTGCATGGTAATTGTCTTTTGATTGAGGTAGGGATCAGTGGGTCAAGGTCACAAGTGCTATAAATAGATTTTTGTACTTTTGCACATACATTCTTTATTTATTGACAAATGTATTCCATATTTGGTAGAAAGATAACTTGCATGATATTCTTCCTTTTGATTGAATCAGTGATTCAATGTCAAGGATGCAAATAATAGATTTTTACACATTTGCTTATACAGCCCTTTTTCTGATGTTTTTATCAGCTCACCTGTCACAGGGTGAGTTTTTGTGATCGCTTTTCGTCCGCGTCCGTCCTTCGTCCGTCCGTCCGTCCGTAAACCTTTACTTTAAATGACATCTCCTCATAAACCACTAAGCCAATTTCATCCAAACTTAACAGGAATGTTTCTTTTGTGGTCACCTTTAAAAATTGTTCAAAGAATTTAATTCTATGCAGAACTCTGGTTGCCATGGCAACCGAAAGAAAAACTTTAAATATCTTCTTTTAAAAAAACCCTAAGAGCTAGAGCTTAGATATTTGGCATGAAACATCTTCTAGTAAGTGTCTACCAAGTTTGTTCAAGTCCTGGGGTCAAAATTGGCCCCGCCCCAGGGAGTCATTGATTTTCCCTTTATGCATATAGTAAAAACTTTAAAAAACTTTTTTTAAAGAACCCAAAGAGCTAGAGCTAAGATATTTAGCATGAAACATCTTCTAATGAGTGTCTACCAAGTTTGTTCAAATAAAAGCCCCGGGGTCAAAATTGGCCCCGCCCCAGGGGGTCATTGATTTTCCCTACATGCATATAGTAAAAGCTTAAAAAATCCTCTGCTAAAGAACTCAAAAGGCTAGAGCTAAGATATTTAGCATGAAACATGTTCTAATGGGTGTCTACCAAGTTTGTTCAAAGCCCTGGGGTCAAAGTTGGCCCCGTCCCGTGGGTCATTGATTTTCCTAATATGTGTATAACAAAAACTTAAAAAATCTTCTTTGAAAAAAACCAAAAAGCTAGAGTTTAGATATTAAGCATGAAACATCTTCTTGTAAGTGTCTACAAAGTTTGTTCAAATAAAAGCCCTGGGGTCAAAATTGGCCCTGCCGTGGGCAGGGTGGATGCTATATACAGGTGAGCGACCTCAGGGCCATCATGGCCCTCTTGTATTTGATAGGATGATAACGTGGTCTTCGTCCTTCAGATTAGGGGTCAGTTGATTTGAGTTCTATATTTTTCCTTGAATGCATAAGCTGTTCAGAGGTGTGTTGAGGAACATCAGTCATGGATAAAACAGAGAAAAAGAACCCATAAAGAAAGTCCAAAACGTCAAAATAGAAAATGTTGCAGGCTCGGTTTGATAAATCGCCCGTGTATGACTTTATTACTGTTAGTATTGGCCAGAAAAAATAGGTTATCAAATCAATGAAATTACTTAAACCGAATTCTGATAGCGACAATGTCATAATACCTTTAAGATGTTGTCAATCAGGGTAATAAATGAAAAAGGGAGACAAAGGAAAAATACTTTTCTATTGAGAATTAAATATCAATTGTATCTTTCTAGAATACGCTTTCTAGCGTCAAGATTACATTATATAGCAGCTCAAAACCTCGATATTTAGGTTCATAAAAGAAAACAATTAAAGCAAATACACTTTTGTGTAATTGCAATTACAATAAAAATGACTATGATAGCGTTAAAAAGTAATATAATACTACTTTAAATCATGATTTTAACATGAATTTACATCTTGCGACATTTAACGGTAGTGCTGCGACATTTAACGGTAAGGGAAAATTGTGCGACTTTTAACGTTACAGTAGCGACATTTAACGGTAGACGATTTTGCGACATTTAGCGGCGGTTGCGATCTTTAGCGGCAATGGTGCGACATTTAGCGGCGGTTGCGACATTTAGCGGAAAGTGCGACATTTAGCGACTTTGCGACATATAACGGCGCCACATACAAGTAACGTAATTATGTTGTATTAAATGAATAAATTATTTCATATATCAATAAGGAATAGGGACATTCAATGAACGCATCCCCACCCCGAAATAAAAAAAACCACACAGGACCACCGGCAACACACTGTTTGCTATGTGTTCGCTCATACTTTCTAAAGTGTAGCTTTATTTTCCTGGTCTTTTGGAGTCATTTATTACAACACACTAGTATTGAAATTGAATGATGTTAAGGCCGGTGAAAGGGTGCGTGAGAGATTTTGCACTTTCACATCATCTCTCATGAACAAACATATTGAAACAAATCTGCATTTTTCATAAAGTATTGATGTTGTCATTGCTTCCGAGGGATTTCCACTATTCTAGATTATATTTTACATATATACAATGCATATCTTTTTTAATTTTACCGATTATTTCGTTCGTAATCAATCCGCCAAAACCAACAAACATCAGTATGAGCCCTTCAACAATTCTTACATTGTCTCTACCAAACACCTCTGGTATCACATCATCTCTTAATCCCTCGTTCATACCTATGATATAAATGTGTATGTACATGTATGTAAATTTCTTATCTGTGTTTTTACAAAATTCAAGTAAGAAAAACATAGATCTATAGCGGTAGCACTTCTGGTACAGCAAGGGAAATCATGTCAAAGTTTAGCATAATCTTGATTGAATTTTAACCTGCTCTCGAGAAATAACGAGAACTTTGAACCCTCAAGCATAGGGGCGCCATGCCAAGTGAGACGGTTAAATACCCGTGTGACATTCCTGTGTTCCGCGAACTACGATCCCAGCTATTTATGGCACAGAAAACGAATTGACACAGCGGTGTGGGTAAATGCTCGACTATAAGGAAAGTTTCATTGCATAAAAAAGATAGTTGGAAAAAAAACATAATAAAATTAATTTGATTTTATTGCCCTATTCCCAAAAATGCGAAATCAATATTAATCCAAGTTCTAATAGATTTCACTATTGTGAGGTGAGAAAGTAATGATTTTAACTTTTTTTAATGTCACGAATAATTAACGTTTGTGATGAGATATAGATAATATTTAATTTTTACTTTTTTTCAGATGATAAATAAACTAAATAAACAAACGACATTTGATTGTTTTTTTATCGGCGTCTATCCGAGCTAAAGCATTACCTACATATTATATCTAGAAGCTAGGCTTACCAAAGAACGTTGCAAACAGTAAACTAAAAGTGAAAAAGTATCCAAAGTTTACTGCCTCTGGTGCTACAAAACAACCAATCGACATGGTGAAGGATGTAGCCACTAACAGACCAAATATATGTGTCAGACGGCTGTCTTTATGTGCAATGTCATCAGGCCTGGTATGAAAAAACTTGATTTACAAAATTTAAAAGACAAAATTATGCCATTTAAATTCATTTTTACAAAACAATTAATATTGGCTATGCCACTTTAAGACTTACTATCACACACTTCGCTTCATAGAATTATCAAAGGAGCCGAGTTCTTTTTCTTTTCTTTTTTTCGCCAGTACGTCATATAATTAATTTAACACAGTCCGTCATTTAGTGTGATATATATTTAGTCCAATTTATTAATTGCAATCCTGTAGTGGCACAATCTATACCTGAAACTTGAACTAAAAAAATCTCTATTTGGTCGAATATTTATGACTTGGACGACTTGGGAATGCATTTGACACGTTGCTTAGCAACATAGATGATAGCTGAAAATCGGTTATTTGAAAAAAGAAAGTTTGATACTTTTATACTATGTTATAATATGTTGTTTGCCATATTTCCTTTTAATTTGATGAACCCCCTAAATCTTCAGCAACTCACCTCAGTTGTTCTTAATATTAATAAATTTGTTTTAATAAAGAGAAACAATTTTGAATAAAACTGACAAACCGGTTCTCCTCCCGGTACACCGTTTTCCTGACAACCCATGCTATGAACGTTCCCAATGCCTGTCCTGCTGGTTGACTCAGTCCGTAAAGTAGAGCTTTAGTGAGATTTCTACCAAATTCCAGCCGGCTTGTCATGTCACTGTCAATGAACTGACCTTGTGGTGTCTCTATTCCTGGTAGTATAAAACATGTTTGTTTAACTAGAAGGTAGACATGTTTGTCTCCATATATATACTCGTACACAGAAACACCATTTTAGAGACACACATACTTTCGTGTTGCTAATAGATATTGATGTAGAGAGATAAAATTTATTCTACAGTCTTATTTTTGTTGTACAAAGGTTATTGCTATATACAGAGGGTCGTCCTGAAGAGGTAGGAGTGAAAATACTTCCTTATTGAGATGGCTTCTGTAATAATGATTGACCCTATATTCCTTGAAGTTATCTAATCTGAATTCAAATATATGTATATGAGCCGCGTCATGACAAAACCAACATAGTGCGTTTGCGACCGGCATGGATCCTGATCAGACTGCGCCGATGCGCAGACTGGTCTGGATCCATGCTGGTCGCAAACCCATTATGTTGGTTTTGTCGTGACGCGGCTCATATGTCTTCTCGTCAATTTTCAAAACCAATCATGTAATGTATTTTTTAAAGGGAGACACAGGCAAAATATCCATTTCTTCGTTATGAATTTTTCATTCATTATTCTGTAAATATCCTGAAAATGAATACACTTGGCAGTCAAAGGAACAAAAGTTTTTTATGTTTTCTCCTTATAAAGAATAAAATTTCCTAACTTGACCCGCGTGGCTCAGGTTAGAGCGTTAAGATTTAACAATAGTTGTCACAGTTAACTCTGGAAACGTTAAAGAACATGTCAAATGAATGGATCAGACTTTTTCAATCATACAATATCCACAATATCTGTTATTGTCAATTCCGGGGTTTGTTCAAATCACATAACTTGTTTTAAATCTACGGCAAATCTGTCGTGCAACATATACTAGTACAAATATATTTAAACTTCAAACCCAAAATATATAGAATTTATACAGAAATTCATGCTGGGACTTTAAAGAAAATGTCATTTTAGCGTGATTTGAGTACATAAGATTATTTTAATATTTGTGTCATTAATTTGCCCGAGAATCCCTTTAAATATCCCAGGGCTATAAAAACTATATTTATGTTAACAATCACGAGATTTTGTTTTGAAGCTTAATGAGACTTTCTTTGGCTCGTTTTAGAGTTTTATAAAAGTTTTTGGACTCGTTTGAAAGGTTACAGACTTTTTCTTGCTTAAAATCGTTTAAAACGTTATAACACTTTCTTATTTAGGTAGTTTAAAACATTGGTGCTTTTTGCTGAACCTCGTTTTTAAAATATAATGACACTTTCTTGCTTAAGCTCGTTGTAAAACATTAGACCTCTTCAGCTTGTTTTTAATTATTTTTTTATGAAACAACGAGAAAATGGTCTGTAAATGTAAAGATGTTAAATTTACCCCAGTGAAAGAAGAAGTATACTGCACATGTCAGCCAAAACAATAAACTCTTGAGTAAGTCTTTATTCCCGAGTCCAACCGTCTTCTGAATGAATGTCACCGATCTGTTCTCCTTCATTGTTATCTTAAGTTCCCGTAAGGTTAAACCAAGTAAGCCAATTCCAATACATAGCCCAGAACATCCTCTAAAACAACATGGCAAATAGTGTTATAAATGACAACAGCTCAATGGGGAAAACAACATAAATGACAACAAGTAACTATTACAATTTTATTTTGATTTGTGTCAGTCTCGCAGTAGATAAACGAAATCACTGTCTTGCGATCATATATAATTTTATATTTATCCTGTCTTGCGATCGCATGTTACTACCGATCACTGTACCTTTCTTGTGAGCCTATATATTTTAACTTGAACCTTTCTTGCTATAGCAGACAGTAGATTTGTTTATATACTGTGCATCAATGTGTCAGTAAAGGATTGTGCGTTCCTCCCACTTTCTTTCGACAGTTTCCGTATTACCTACATGTGTTTAAATACATTTTTGTAACGTGAGAGAAAGTGACGTCATTATTTTGAACTGCACAAAATTGCGTCTCCCTTACGTACTCATTAGCTCATCACAGGTGGCAGTATCAGTGTTTGGACACCCCACCCCTATCTGCCCATGGACCCCTACTACAACCCTGAAAAAAATAATTCAACACTCTAAGGCTTACTATAAGGTACCAAATACAAAACCACTGATGAAATTATATAAAAAAAAAATTTTTTCCACTATCAAAATTATAGTTATAGAAAGGTGAAAAGCCTACTATATGTTCATTTGCCAAACAATGTGGAACACGGGAAATCGTCGTTTCGGCGACAGAGGCGCATTCCGGCGGGATTTCGCTGCATCATTCATTAACATCAATAAAAAGAACTAAAATTCCACAGCTTATCTAATTCAAGTCTAACGAATATCACTATAATTCCGATTTTTTCTGTTTCACGGTATTTTTTGAATTGTCGTAGCCATTTTGCAGTCTGATACCTGGGTTGAAATACGCGATCTGATTGGACGAGCCAAATTGGACGTCCAATCAGATCGCGTATAACACACAGGTGTGGCGCCGTTATATGTCGCAACGCCGCTAAATGTCGCACTTGCCGCTAAATGTCGCACCATTGACGCTAAATGTCGCAACCGCCGCTAAATGTCGCAAAACCATTTGACGTTAAATGTCGCAATGTTAACGTTAAATGTCGCACGAATTTCCCTTACCGTTAAATGTCGCAACACTACCGTTAAATGTCGCAAGATGTAATTTTATGTTGAACTCAAGTTTTATTGTTGTATCATATTAATTAAATCTGCCTACTCAATTTGAAAGCGAGTGAATTTATTATATATGGAACTGCGCTACAATTTAGGCGGCGATAATACTCATATTGTAAATAAATGTATATTGTTTTGCGTTCGATATTTAGCTGATCTTATGCAAGTACATATTGATAATTATACAATTGTCTACTATTTGTATGAAACTGCAAAATTGGCATTGTCCTGTAAATAGTTTAGTACAATTGTGTCTGTAAAATGGCAGAAGAGACAGGCTGCCTGAGGTGGCAGTCGGATGGCCTAGTTGACTGAGGAGCCAAATTGTCTCGCAGTCGGAAGAGGTACCCTAAATTGCTGACGACCTGGACCTTAAGAGTTTACCTAACGCCCTGTAAGCCTAACGTTGGTAGCCTAGTATCCTGAGGAGGCCGCCTAACATCCTAACAGCCTATCGATGTCAGCTTTGCAACCTGAAGTTGGCAATCTAACAGCTTAGAGTCGGCAGCCTAGTAGCTTAAAGTTAGTGACTTATATTATAAATATGGAAACAATTTAAAATACAGTAAAATCACTATGAAAGGTCATGCAAAAGCACATACACATGCATGATTATGGAAAAAACGCCTTTACCTTTAGGGCACTTAACTTTGTAGTCTAATAGCCTAAAGCTGGCAGTCTAGGAGCCTGGCAGCCTAAAATTGGTGTCATGTTTTAAAAAATGGAACGATCAAAATAATAAAACGGCAAGTTGGATTTTTCCTAAAATCTACTTGTACAAAGGGCTTCATAATTTACACATTTATTAATCAATACAATAATCTTGATCATGGCAAGTAACATAATTATTGCATAAATTTTAATCAAGTTATTGCCATTTTCAGCAGTTTGAGAATGAATATCGTTAACCTTAACCGGCAAGTTGGATTTATTTAAGTACTGTCTATACTTATGGCTTCATAATTTCCAAACTTACTTATTTAGAAAAAGTTCATGATATTGCCACCCATTTTCTCAAGTTATATTCCTTTTTTTCACTTTGAAAATAAGACCTTGTATGGTTAACCTATTCCGGTAAGTTGGATTTATCTTAAAAATTCATTTAATGATATCTTCCATATCTGGTAGGTGGATACCATTAATGGCCGTGTTTTTTATGGAGTAAGGGGTCTCTAGTGTCAAGGTCACTGGTGTGAATTTTTTATAACATTTTTGCTCATAAAGCCTTTATTGTTAAGATTATGTATTTCATGTTTAATACAAACATGCCAAGAGAGGTCCTCTTTCTTTGGGTTTAGTTGGGGGTCCTGTGGGTAGAGGCCAAAGTCACCAATGCCAAAATAGATTTTAACATTTTTACAGGTGTTTTAACATTATTCTTTTGAAAGATGTCTTTTATAGTTGGTAGGAACATGGCATTGAGGTCTTCTCCTTTGGATGGAGTTATGGTTCAGTTGGGTCAAGGTCACCAGTTCTAAAATAGATTTCTACACTTTTACAGCCTTTATTTATTGACAAATGTATTTCATATTTGGAAGGTAGATAACTTGCATGGCATTCTTCCTTTATATTGAGGAAGGGACCAATGGGCCATGGTCACAAAAGCTAAAATAGATTTTAATTTGCAGGATGAAGTTCACACAAACAGTTTATGCTTTTATCAAATTTGCTAGTCGTATGCGTGTTTTTATTTCCATTTTAACGCCAGAAAGGCAGTGGTCATTCATATTATTGTTGCAATAAATTAAAAAGATGTTTTCTTTACACATCTGTTCCATTTTTTTTTTTTTTTTTTTTTGAAAAATAAAGTTCTTAAAATTATCTTAAAATAAATACACTATTGTGCGTATGTATGTATTTATGGTCATTTGAACTTCACTATGACGTACTCGACACGCGCATTTTAGGACGAAAATAAAAGTGTTTACAGATATCTAACCAATATCGTCGTTACATATGTACGAGTATAATTCACGTCTTGTGTTTTTCGAAAAATGTCAAATTTAATTTCATTGAAATATTTATCATGAAGCGTTACAGATTAAGATTTTCATTACAGCAAAGTAATGATATAAAAAGCCTAAATTCTCTGGCCAAAACGACTAGCTGTCTTTAGCCAAACAGCAAGGCCAATATTAGCTTAATCAATTATTTGTATTCTTATTATATGATAGTTACTGCAGAATCTTTCATAGTATAAAGCGACTTGGCGAGTAAAATATCACTTGCCACAATGTCAAAGCGTAAATAGTGTTTGACAAATCGTAAAATGTACTAAATCTTGTGTACTTTGACATCTGCTTACTGTGTGTGAATTTGCGTTTATTTATACTCGACACCGGTTGCCCATATGGGCGAGTCCTCCAGAAGAGTACAAGTCATTTTATATTTTGGAGGATAGTGCAATTACAGATATAGAATGATGCCCCTATTCAACGTGCCAAGTTGTTTTAGCACTTATACACGGGACCTCGATTTAAAGTATCATCCGAAAGACTTATCAGTAATTTAAGTTGGCCAGCCCGGGAATAGAACCAACAAGGTCGAGGTTACAAGTCTCGCGCTCTATGCGGGCTGGCTGCTTACAAAAATTCCGGTGCATATAATCGTAAAATTCGCTCATATCTAGCACCCGACTGCGGATCGAATACTACATGATCAAGGAGTACTACATGATATTTTTTTTCGATTTTCGTATTCACACCGTATTACCGGCGGCAGTGATGGCAGATCACTGCAGTGATGGCAGATATCTGAAAATTACCGATCGGTACATCACTATTTTGCATTGATTTTTTCCATCAAAATTGATTTCAAAGTGCTGCCACTTCTCAATGGATTGAGATAGAGTCAAAGGCTTTTCAGCATTGGTTACACGTTACCTTATGATCGACCTGGGGCCATTTTTAGCCTCCCACAAGTCCAAAGTTTTCTTGGCGATGAGGGGGACTCAGCCCCCCTTCAAACCCCCCAAACAGAAGGGGGCACATCCCCCTTCTGGCAACCCCCTGATGTATCTTTTGGATGGGGGTGGGGGGCCGCGCCGAAAAAGTGGTCAATTTTTTAAACAACATTTATCAAACAAAAACAAGTGTTTGGGGGCCTAAATAAGGCATTTTTTCACCATTTGAGAAAGCAAACATGCATACAATACTATATGTATCTTAAGTTTAGCAGCGCACTCCCTTTTTAAGACATAACGCCAGTTGCATATTACAGCAAGTAACTTCTGTAAGTGGATATTCATTTGCTAGCATAATTATGACATTATTTTCTCGAGGTAATAATGTTCATCGCTTTATGACAAATAAAGGCTGAAATTTACTTAATCGGCGCAGATTATAAATTATTAAATTGATGTAATAAAGGGGAGACTATTAACCTCGCAACTGGCATCAGTGTATCATAAAACAATGTATGTTAATGTAAAATGGAAAGATAATATTATTGACAGTTCAAATATTTTCCTATATTATCAAGTTCTTGAAAAACACGACAACGTGGATTCATTTCTTTAAATTTTCATGTTTGTAATAGCGTTGTAGTTTGCCTTTGAATAACATTTACTATGCTAAACTATTAACAACAGTTCTAACATCACGTGCTCCCATTTAACTATATATTTTTTCATTCATTTTAGTTGTAACCATGACAACTTATAAAGATGAACCTTTCGATGATTCATATCACAAGATGAAAATTAATCCTGTATTAATAGGAAAAAAACTAGAATTTTTTTGATTTGTTATATTCTTTTTCTCTTTTTGACCTTTCAATTAATATGAACAGATCAAGCACACATGCATGAATATAGAAAAATGAAGTTTTTCATGTTCATTTCTCTATTTATAGTGAAATTTTGTCGTACTAAATCATCACTTTTTGTATTGTATCTGCATGTTGCTAAAAAGCTTTTTTCGATGCACACACCGCATTAATAACTTTTCTATCTTGAGAAAATATTAGAAATAATAGTTTAACGTCTCAATTCCGACTAAAAGGACGCAAAGAAAAGAGGAATTGATAAAAGATTGAACTTGATTTTCTGTCAGAATGTTAGCCACTTTCGTGGTATTTCTGCCATCGACGGCAGCATTTATAATATGTATCTGCCTACAACGGCAGCATTTTTTCTTCGACCGGACAAGATTGAGCGTCTGTAAAACTTTCAAGAAAAGACTCACGGGGTAGATATTTGGCTTGCGTGACCCCAATGGATGAACGTCTATATTGATAACAGGAAATCCTGCCATTTACTTAAAACTTGAGATATTTTGAACAGAAAACAGACATTTTCACGGATTTTTTCCAAGGCTTTCACTTTTAACCTGCTCAAAATAGTCTTAAAACAGGAAAAAACGAGTCCAAAATTACCTTACAGTATCTCCATTCAATAGACAATAGTTTTATAGCAATGATATGGGCCGTATTTGCGTAATATAATTAAACCAACCAAATTTATAACCTACCTGTATCGATCGGTAATTTTCAGATATCTGCCATCACTGCAGTGATCTGCCATCACTGCCGCCGGTAATACGGTGTGGTATTGACCATGCATTTCAAACTATGTTTTTCACGTATTTGCCGTTTCTGTTAAAATAAAAAATTTGCCTTGATATTCAATCAATATTTCACGTTTGAAGTGAATATTTGTGATGTTTTTTTTTTTAAATATAATAAGGGAGATATTTTAGAAAAAATACCTTTCAGGGTCATCTGTCCTTTAGAAATGCATTAGTACTTTCATATGAAATAAGTATTTTAAGTTTAAAGTGAATATGTTTGAAATTAGCCTTAACCAAAAGGTTAATCAGAGCGAAAACATCTTAGAGAAATAAGGGGAATAACTTTGCAAAATATAACTAGGATTATCTGCCTTTTGATATTGCATCATATGATCATAGTGAACAACTAAACCACGTTTAAAGTAAATTGGGTAGTTTCTGAGAAAATAAATGAAATTACTTAAACCAAATTCTGAGAGTGACAATACCATAATACCTTTAATCTGTTGTCAATCAGGGTTACAAATGAAAATGTTAAACAAGAGAAAAATACTTATCTATTGAGAATTTAGTATCAATTATCCTTTCTAGCCTAAAGATTACATTATATAGTAGCTCAAAACCTCGATATTTAGGTTCATTAAAGAAACCAAGTAAGACAAAGATAATTTTTGTGTAATGGCAATTACAATCAAAATAACTATGAGAATGTTAAAAAGTAATATAATTCTACTTTAAACATGATTTTAACATGAATTTACATCTTGCGACATTTAACGGTAGTGTTGCGACATTTAACGGTAAGGGAAATTCGTGCGACATTTAACGTTAGCATTGCGACATTTAACGGCAAATGATTTTGCGACATTAAGCGGCGGTTGCGACATTTAGCGTCAATGGTGCGACATTTAGCGGCAAGTGCGACATTTAGCGGCGTTGCGACATATAACGGCGCCACACACAGGTATCAGAATCCAAAATGGCAACGACAAGTAAAAAATTACCGTGAAATAGAAAAAATCGATAGAATATTGATATTCGTTAGACTTGAATTAAGTAAGCTGTGGAATTCAAGTTCTTTTTATTGATGTAAATGAATGATGCAGCGAAATCCCGCCGGAATGCGCCTCAGTCGCCGAAACGACGATTTCCCGTGTTCCACATTGTTTGGCAAATGAACATATAGTAGGCTTTTCACCTTTCTATAACTATAATTTTGATAGTGGAAAAAAATTTTTTTTATATAATTTCATCAGTGGTTTTGTATTTGGTACCTTATAATAAGCCTTAGGGTGTTGAATTATTTTTTTCAGGGTGTAGTAGGGGTCCAGGGGCAGATAGGGGTGTGGTGTCCAAACACTGATACTGCCACCTGTGTAGCTCATTAGGATATCAAAAATTAAAAATACGAGGACTCTTTCTATACATTCTATAGATAAAGCGATTCTAAAACACGATATCAGCCGCCAAGTGATAAATATTTCGTCAAACTCTAACATCATGGTGACACGTAAATGTTCAGTAAAAATACAATTTGTGAAATAATAAAATGATATTAAGTGTAAATAATTTAAAAAGATGTTTTAAAGTACATTGAATATTAAGTATAAATATGTGTTCATAACCTTAAAAACTTTCTCCATAAAACTTTGACGTCACTCTCGGCCGTTATAATTATAATGGCTAGAATCATTTCGCCGACGTGAGTTCCTAATTTGGACACAAACAAAGCTTTTATTCTCTTTGTTGTAAAATATTCTAACACGGGGATCAACGCGCCAAGTTTGATAAAACTCATTCCTATTGCTGAAAAGAAATTAACTACGTGTATATAAACAGTATACATTGTATCGTTACTTATCGTAAATTTGACATGTAAAATGGTCAGCTGCAGTCTTAAGCTTATATATTATACATTGTTAATTCTATTTAACGAGCACACTGCTGTAAACCCTATATTGGACGAGGCGCTAACCGAGTGTAATATAGGTTTTGTAGCTGTGTATAAGTCCAATACAGTCAGTGATATGCTCAACAATATATAATGTTTCTTTATTTCACAAAGTCAATCTTTAAGGAATGAAATCATTAAATTAATTAAAACATTAAAAAACATCGGTTTTTGTATTTTACCATAAATTAGAATCACTAGAGTACAATATGGAAATGCTGTGGAAGTATTGGACTCTGTTAATGAAAACGAAGCTAAACAAAGTACGATATGGCTTAAGAAAGAGTGCCTGAAACCAGCTTACCAAGAAATATTTGTAATACAGTAATACTTGTTAAGCCAGACAAGATCTTGATGAACTGACGGTTTTTAAGTCCGAAGTATAAATGCCTAAACTTATTTACATGTATTTAATTTTAGATATTTAGAATAATTTAATTTTACCTGTCGGACCATATATCAGAAATTTGATAAATCCTTCAGTATCATCATCTCCGAGATAGGATATAAATATAACGGTAGTCATGACAACGCCGGCTCCAATACAAACGGTCTTCTTGTAACCAAAGAATATCATAACTAACGCAGCTATCGGTGCTATATTAGGAAACAAAATCTGATAAAAGTTTAAAGTAACAACAAAGTTTTAAAGGAAGTCTTATAAAAATAAAACACCCCTATCTTTAGATATGTTTGAATAATGATTGCTTATATTTAAAGTAAAGTCCAAGTAATTCAGGTCCAAGTGCTCGTGTTTAATAAAAGTTTTATTATTTTATTTATTTATCTTTTTTAATGCCATGTCTGAAATTCCTGAAATTTTTGTCTATTGCGACAAAGATTGAAAGGTCTGGTCCAGTAAAAATGAAATGATTTGTATACTTTAAGTAAATTCAGGACAAAGACAGAAATAAATAAAAAAATATCTCAGTTGCACCGAGAATATGTCCATTTAAATATTGGTGCGAAATGCATGATGTTCGAATGATTTTGAGGACGAACTGTTCTGTTATTTTACAAATAACAAAAATATGTCTGTAATATAAATAACAGTTATGAATAAATTGTTTGATATAAAAATTATAGTCATGTATTGTTTACTTACTTATAAAAGATTAAACTAGTTCATTAAACACAAGATTGCATATTTGCCTGGAATTTAGGTATATAACCACTAAATGTAATAAAAAAATCTAGGCTTCACAGAATCCTGCAAAATAACCTACATACATTTTGAAATAAACGTACTTTTCACACAGTTAATCTGTTTTATAACTTTAATGATAATTATTATTCATGAATAAGCACACGTTTTGGCTGTTTTTCAAAAAATATTTCCGTTGCGCCCGTAGCGCAAAAACATCTCCTTTGCGTATTTTAGTCATACTCATTGTTTCCTGTCTTCTGTTATTCAAACATGGCAGTATCACTTCAGTTAAACATTGTTTTTTTTTGTGTGTGTGTGTGTGTGTGTTTTTAATTCATAAAAACTCGATGACCTGTTGTACATTAGAAAAGTTATTTTTATTAGAAAGTTTGAAAACAGTGTGACTTTGTTAGAGCTAAAAATACATAGAAGGATTAGAAG